CCTCTGGTGCCTTTTACCTAAGGAAACAGTTTCCCTTCAGTTACTGAGGAAATATTGTACCACCTTGAAGCTGAAATAGGATCTGGAGCCACAAATGAGACTTGAAGGGGGTGGGAGAGACGGGAAATTAGTGGCTGGCACAGTGCCTAAAGCCCTAGCTCTATCCAGCTTCTAGTTTCTGGATGGAGATGGGTCTAAGTTTAGGATGAGAATGTCATCTGCCTGAATGAGACAGTTTCCTGAACCCTAAAGAATTATTTTCTGAGATAGAATTTATATACCATAAAATTCACCCTTAGACCCTTAAGGATTTCCCCTCCCAGGAGGCTCTTCCCCTTCTTAGCTTCCTTGTCACCCTCCCCCACCAGAGAGAAGGGAAAATGGAGAGGAGCAAGTTCCCCAGAATAGCATTTCTTCAGTGTTGGGATCAATAAACCCGTTTGCTTAAAAGGAACCAGATGATTTCATCCTTGTAATTACAAGTTTGACGTTTGCAAATCTTGCCCAGGCTCCAAATGAGCCTCTTTGTCATGGGAGGCGAGCGTTTTGTCTGGGTGCCTGGGGATGGGGACTGAGCCTGATGCGGTGGGAACAGGGCCAGACTGGGGTCAGGAGGCCTGGCCGACCATCTTCAAGGGCTGCTTTGGACTGCTCCCCTTCCCCTTAACTACACTCCAAGTTTCTGGAGGGTGATAGGAAGCAGACTAGACTAGGGGTCTAGAGAATAACAGTGGTGAGCTCTAACCACACTGCCCTCTTGCCTAAGCCCCTTCCCCCAAGTATCCAATTTGCCTGTGGCAGAAAGGCAAAGGCCCTCAGACCAGCATTCATGACCCCCTGACAATAATTACTTTCCTTTCCAATCCCATCTCCCATCATTTCTCCCCATGGCACCCTGCAATCCAGCCATACTGGCCTACATGCATTTCCCACATGCCTTAGGGCCTTTGCTCTTAACTGTTCCCCTATCTAGCATGACTTTCTCTGCTGGGAAAACTCATACTTTTTCTTTAAATATGAGTTCAGGGGCCTTTCTCCTCCACAGAGTGACTGCCCCACATTGATCCCTCATTCTATCATTTGGGTTGATACGATGTGCCAGGGAGATGATCAGCACACCTAGGACAGAGCAACACCCTGGGTTCTGGGAAGATTTGGCTCCCCACTAATTTGTGTATATTTTACTACTGTATGTCCTTTATAAGAGTGTCTCTCATCCCACCCTTTAACTTTTGTTTTAATTATTTAAAACTTGTACATATTTTTGGTAGAAAATATAGGAAAAGAAGAGAGTCCAACCACCTCAAAACAATCATTGCTAACATTTCAGTATATATTTTTTGTCCTCCTTCCATCCACATTCTATAGGTGCAGTTTTGAGTGCCCCATTGTCACCTAACCCTATGGCATAAATATTTCCCCATGTTATCACATAAAACTCCTAATGGCATCTTGGCCTATCCCCAATTGTTGGACATTTATTTCAGTTGTTTCCTATTATTCAGTGTTATAAAATAGACTTCTGTGAACATCATGGGGCTTAAGGTGTTTTCTTAAAAGTTTTGGATACTGTTTTTTGGGTCAATTTCCAGAGTAGCACCACCATGTCAAAAGGTATGGGCATTTTAAGGTTCCTGATACCTGTTACCAAATTTCTCTTTGACATTGCCTCTTCTCTCTTCTTGAGTCTTAAAATCTGTTCCCTCCTCCCACATTTCTCTTCTCAGCGTCTCAGACACAGGAAATCGCAACCAAGAATAAACCAAAACCTGCAGATAGAGATCAATGGATCAATAAAGGAGGTTGAATAATTCAACATTCACTTCTGGCTCATTATCGACTCCTGAATCCAAATGCATCCTCTTTTACCTTCTCTCCTTTTGTCTCCCTGTAGATGATACCTTGACACCCTGCCCTGTTCTTGGATTCTTTCCCAAATTTTCCAAGCTCTAAACCATCTTGGCAGGCTGAGTATTCCATCATGCTGTAATATTGCCTTGTAAATAGGCATTCAGAATTACTAGCCCGTGCTACCTCACCAGCCTGCCTTCTCTCTAGGAACACAATTAATAAAGCAGATGATAATTCTCTTCTACTATATGATACTTCTGAGTGAGTGGGCAAGGAGCTCACCTTCAGCCCTGGCTAATTGTCACTCTTTAGCTTGCTTCTCTCCTCTTTCTCAGCCAGGCAAATTCATACTCTTTCATTAAGTGTGGGTCCAGAGGCCTCTGAGAAGTCGTTCTTGACTATACTGGGCAGAATGATGCCCCACAATATCCCCTCACCAATGTCTGCCCTGGAAACTGAACCCAATCTCTTCGAAGGTACCTCATAATCTTAGTAGCTTCCCTAACCCCACCTTATGCTAACTTCATCTTGCTCCCTCCTGTCCAAGGGAAGCTCCCAGCATGCCTTGCAACCTAGGTAGTGTTGGTGATTGAGATGGACTCAGAGGTGCCATGGATAGGCTGAAGAGAGTACATTGGGCTGTAAAGACCACCCAATGTGGATGTTTTGGGTTAGGTGGTGACTGAGTAATCACCTAATCAGAGACTTCACTGAGGCACCTGTGGCATAAATGTGTGTCTAGAGGGCAAGCCCAGAAGAGGCAGGTCAGGGAGCTCAGGTTATATCCAGGGGCTCATTCCACTGTAAAGCATGTAAGTGGTGCCCCCTGGAGACGTGCGCTGCAGCAGCTCTTCTGCCTGCCATACCTGGGTGCTGGCTGTGGGAGGAAGGTATGTGCTGTCCAGGACAATAGGTTCCATATCCAGCTGTTTTCCTGCTTTTCCCATTAGACTCTCACTACTAAGGTTTGTTTGGGTATGGTTGTACCCTCACTCTTGGAAAAATTATTCTTTTCCCAGACGTGCTGAGTTTTGTAGAAGCCAAGCAAGGTCAGGATTTCTCTTGACAAGAAGGATCAGAGAGGCCAACTGAATGTCTGAAATCACACAGCAGTGAGAAGAGTTGTATTAGAACCTATGACCCCTGCCCATCATCAGCCTTTCCTAGCAAAGCAGAATCCCATGATTCTGGAGTAGCAAATCAATGGGCACCTTCGGCAGGTGCTCAGAGGCCCAGCATCAGGCCCAGAGTTTTAGAGTTTTGGGCCTGGGATCTCTGGAAGGCCCTGGAGCATACCAGTCCTTCCCTCAGGCTAGAAGAGCTACTCCTTAAGGCAAGAGACATGAATCAGCCACAGGCACCTCTACCAGCTGTTGATGAATTTTCCTGTCACTGGTGCTAATTTCCTGAAAGGTTTTTCTTCCACCTTCAGGCTCCCCCTCAAAAGGGTTCTTGTTCCTTCACAGTAGGAGATCCATAATGATCACTCAGTGGCTCCTTGGTGAGGTCACAGCATGCCCTTCCACAGTGCCTGTGGCTAAAGGGGCTGAGAGCAGACAGGAGTCCTGGACCATGGCTGATGGGGGCTGGGCTAGAGTAGTGTCCTACCACAGGCATGGTTCCCAGTGCACAGCTGAGGAGAACCAGGCCCAGAGAGGCAAGTGGCTTGTCTAAGGACACACACAGAGGAACAGGCCCAGGCAGGAACACATAGCTCCCAGCTCCCAAATTCTGCCTAAAAGAGGCATGCTGAGCTCTGCTTTGCAAGGCCATCTGATCTCAGCCTCTGAGGTCTTTCAGGGCTCAAATGGGCCTTCATCCCCTTGTGATTTGCTCCATAGACAAATATACACAAACCCAACCCCTTGTGGCCATGGAGCTATCATTGAGATTATAGAAGGTCAATGGTGAGAGGCTAGATTGCTGTCTTGATTGACTTTTTATGGGGGGGGGGAAGAGGGGAGCTGAGGAGCTTCCCCAACAACACCTGGCCCTGCCTGGGTCCCTACCACAGACTGGATTCCCTCTTGGGGCTTTTCCTGGACCCAGTGGGTAGGGGCTGAGATCCCTTGGCCCTGGGGAAGGGTCACATAAATTCCCAGGCTAGGCTGGGTGAGAAAACTCTGAACCAGGGGCCATCTTATGGATGGTAGTGGAGGGGGTGGTAGAGTTGGTCAGAGCTGACCTCCTGCCTTGGCCCAAAAACTCCTTAGAACAACAGGACACCTAGGAATCTCAACTTCTACCTTCCTTCGCCTTATTGTCAGCAAGCCCTTTCCATCTCCATCTGCTTTATGAACGTACTTGCCCTGTTCCATGAAGGACTTATTGTCCGGTTTTGCATCGCTCTCCACAGGTCTCTCTATTTCTACTCTCTCCTCCTCTAGTTACTCTGTACTCTGTAACCTCAAAGATCCTTCTGGAAGATAAGCCTGGCCAGGATATGTCCTTCCCATGGCTCCCCAGCGCCTCAGGGTAGAGTCCTTGCTCCCGCCCAAGTTCAGAGGCACAGTGCTCCAGCTCTGGGCCCTATTTCCTCTCTTAGACTTCCTGTGTGGGCCATACTAACACAGAGCTGCTGGGATGGAACAGGCTAATTCTTGCCTCTAGGCCTTTGCTCCTGCTGTGCCCTCTGGCTTAACAGCTCTCCACCTCCATCCCTTCCAGGCTTTCCTGCTTGTCCTTTCAGACACTTCTTTGGGAAGTCTTCCCTGACTCACCACCCCAGCCCAAGTTAGGTCATCTCCTCTGTGCTCCCACAGCCTTTCCAGCCGACCCTTTCCATCATCCCCCAGAGGATCTCAGTGGTCAGGCAACTGGGGTGAGAAGCATCCCTGCCCACTGTCACCTTCTGAGTGCCAGGTACTGCCCTTCTCCAGCATGAACAGCCCCAACACTGCCCTGGCTCACTGTCCATGTGCCTGTCTGGCCGTGTGTCTACTTGCGTCTGTTTCCCTCCTTACCCCCTGACAGTCAGTCCAGGAGAAGCATGAGGCCAAGAGAGGTCTTCAGCAGAGCTGGCCCTCTCAATCGCCTGCCTGAGGCTGGGGCTGCCCCGCTCCCAGCGCGTCTGTCCGGGGCGCAGGCTGTCGGGTGCAGGAGTCCTCACAAGGAGAGAAGCCCCATCCTGCTTGCCCCAACCACCCAACTCAGCTCCAGGCGCCCTCGCGTCCGCCGGGGATCTGGCCCCGCGCCAAGCGGCTGGATCTATCACTGCAGTTGGCAGGAGGCCGGATGGCGCGTCCCCCGGGGCTCCCAGGCAGCCAGAGCTGTCGGCCAAGCAGGGAGGGCGGCAGCGGGAGCCTGGGGGCTGGAGGCGGCGGCGGCGGCGCTGCGGGAGCTGCGGTCGGCGCAGGCACAGCACAGGGGCCGCGTCTCCCGCACTAATTGGCCCTCCCCCAGCCACCTCGACCGGTAATTGCTGCTTGGGGGTGGGGGCTCACGGGGTGTTGGAGGAGAGGAAGGGGCGCCGCTTCCGGAGCGGAGACTCAAGCTCCGCAGGAGCTGAGCCACAGGGGCCCTCAGGAGACACGTGTGTGCGCTGTTCCAACGCCAGCTTTGCACGGGGCCCTTCGCGGTGGCCTGGGGAAAAGCCACAGAGGTGTCTTGGGGCCTTCACCAAGATCATCCAGTTCTGAGAACCGCTCCCTGAGAGGTGGGGCCTGGCCGGGGCTTTAGGAAAGACTCTAGGTGGCCTCAGGGGATGCCAGTACAGAGTGGAGACAGGGCAACGGTAGCCCTCCCACCTCATCCAGCAGTGCCACCTGGGGAGGAGCAAACAGGAAGAGAGGCATCTTCCTTAGGGGATGGGAGGGTAGGAGACATGGGCTGTGGGAGGCAGGGGCCAGCCCACCATCCAGTCTACTCAGCCCATGGCAGTTCTTCCAGGCTCAGATTCCTAAAGGAAGTCCTAGGGTTTCCCTGAGAGTCCTTTCTGATTCTGGTATCTGCTGCAGCCTGGACGGGCCCTGACTGAGCCCCTGCTCCTGCTCAGGGGCACTCCCTCTAATTTGGGAAAAGATGGCCTCCAGCTAGGTGGCTGGTTGGAAAAGTTTCCTTCTCCAGACCCGTTTCAGGAAGCCTGGAGGGGAGAAATGAAGGACCCTTCGAAGCAGGCCTGGAGTCAGACCTCTGGACCCCCAGGTCGGGATGTCCCCTGTAGGCACTGGCGTGAATCAAGCCCGCTCGATCTCAGTCTCTGTTGAGTTCTGCATAGGTTGCCTAGGACCACCTTCCAGCAGGCTGAGCAGCCAGCCCTCACTCAGGCTCCCTCTGATTAGTGGCTATCTGGTTGCCTGTCCCCTTGTTAGAGGTGGACAAGATGTTCTGCTGATTTTGCCTCCCCTGAGAGTGGCGCTGTCATGCTCCCTCTGGGGGCCACTTCTTCCTCAGGGATTGCTCCAGGTCTGGACAGAGGTGGCAGGGTGAGTCAGACAAGCCTGGATTAAATTCCCACTCTGCCACCACGAGGTCATGACCTTTAGCAAGCCTTTTATGTCTTGTGCCTCAGTTTCCTCATCCGTAAAGTAGGTGTAATAAAATCCATGTGACAGGGTTATTGTGAAGATAAATGTTTGCTTGAAAGGAGCTTCCCCCCTCCTCCAACTATCCCGTTGCTTTCGGGGCTTGGATGCTGGGGTATGAAGGCTCTCTAGTGGGCTGCCAATTTAGAGCTATCGTACTTGGAAGCAAAGCCCAAAAGGAAGGCGCCTCATGGGAACCAGACCATCACCTGGGCAAGGAAGGCTGAGGCCTGAGCGGGGCCGTGGGGTGACAGCGTGGGATTGCACGCATTTGGAGATTGAGTACTCACTGTCAGTGGAGGGTTCCCATGCATGTGCACTGGCACATACTTGTTCAGGTACAGACAGTCCTCGCTGAAGTGTAGCCATTTGTATTATTTCTGTGTGTTGAGGTACATGGAGGTGATTTGCTACCCAGGATTCTTGTGGCCACCATGTGGGTTTGGGCCCAGCAAGGCTGTGATAGTGTGAGAATTGTTTCAACCCAGGTTTCTCAATAAGGGAATAGAACCAAAAGGAAAATCCAGGCAGTGGTGTGTGTGTGTGTGTGTGTGTGTGTGTGTGTGTGTGTTCATGTTGGAGAGGCCTCCATTAGCATTAGGGTCCAAGGATGGGAGGCATATTGGTCTCCCCAGGATCCACTCCTCTGCCTTGCTCCTTGCCCAGTGGATCAGCCCGCGGAGATTTTCCCTGCTCCTGTTGGAGATCCTGTTGGTGCTGTCAAGCCAGAAATCTGGGCCCGCTGGACACCTCCCCTGTCTTTCATGCCTCACCTTCCCCTCAGTTTCTGTTCTACCTCCCAAACAGCTCTTGAATAGGCCCCCTCCCTCCATTGCAGGGCTGCTGCCTTGTGAAGGCCATCACCACCTCTGACCAGGACACTGCCCCAGCCTCTTCAAACCCCCTCCAACTCATCCTCCATAATCTGACCAGAGGGACTGGTAGAAAACACAAATCTGACCATGTCACTGCCCCCCTTAAAACCTTCCCTGGCTCCCTCTGCCCTCAGGATAAAGTCCAGATTCACCCACATTAACCCAGGCCCTCCTTTCCATCTAGTCATCTTCTTCCCAGCCAACCTTAGCTCCAGATGCACATGGCCCCTTGCCTCCTACCCTCCTACCTCCAAGCCCCTATACCTCTGTCTTTTCTGCCAAATGCTTTCTTCTCTGCCCAGCAAACTCTTCATATTTAAGGTCCAGCTCAAGTGGTGCCCCTTCTGTTGGGCACTTCCCTATCTGTAGTCCCCAAAGTTCTATCCATCATTGACGGGACATGGATAGGAGGACAGGGAAAGCAGGCCCAGGGAAGTAGGGGCTGCCAGTAGCTCCATCTGCCTGGGGACCAGGTCCCTCTCTCTGGACCACATTCCCTTTCTCATTGCCTCACTCTGCTGGTCTCCCTGTAGGTTGTGAGTGGCCACTCCAACAGGAGTATACAGCCCAGTCTGTATGATGGAGCTGTTTGTTTCTGCTGCCCAGGCAATGACAAGTTTGGTTTATCTGTGTGCACTAAGCATGTGTCACTCAAAGCAAGGACCAAGCTGGGAGGTAGAGGACAAAGGAAAGGGGTGGTGGAGCAGGCAGACAAGGCTGTGAGTCCACCTGCCAGGCCTGGGGGCCAGTCACATGTAGACACCCCCACCCAGCTGTGCAGCAACTTGTCCATTTCTGTGTATCTTAAGGATTGGTTCTGCCAACAGCTGGCTCTACTCCAGCCATCTCTCCCTGGGGAAGAAACAATCTTTCATCTGGCCCATGTGGGAAGTAGTTTTCCTAGGCCGGGAACCTCAGTGGAGTGCCGAGGACTCATGTGGGTCCCATCCAACGGTTAGCCAGGTCAGCTAGGTGGCCCTGGTGCAGCATTCTTAGGGATAAGAAGCTGAGATTCTGATATTTAACGCTAGGTGATTCCTCTCCTAAGTCACCCAGCAGCCTCTGTTTTTTGGGGGAAGACTGAGGCCCCATCTGATCCACTATTGGGCTTCTGACAGTGGGGTGGGGTGTCCTTAGAAACCAGATTGCTGAGTGGGGCCAAGGTCCTAGAGAGAGGAGCCTGTGCTTAGAGCTGGCCTAGCAGGTGGTGGGCCTCCTGGGAAGGCAGAGTATGGTCTGGGCTCATTAGGTTTCTGACTTGACCTCCCTCCCACAAGGAGCAGTAAAGGGTACCTGGGAGGGTAAAAGAATCATCTCACTGAGCTGAAATTCTGGGCCCAAGCAACTTGGCCGTGGGAGGACCCTCACCAGAGTACATCAAAATGGGAGGAGTTATTCTTCTCCATTCCATAGAGCATCAAATGTAGCGGCTGCAGGCCTGGGGAGAGTGTGTATCTGTTAGGTTGGTCTATCAAGGAAACTTCTGGAGCTTCAGGCTAGTAGGTATTCAAGATGACTAGACTGAGGAGGCCTAGAGGCCAATGCCAAGGAGGTGGGGGGTTGGAGAAGGTGGGAGAGTGTGGCCAAGACCAAATCATGGAGGTGGATGCATATAAGATGCCCTGGGAGTGGCTTGGCCAGTATGCCTGGCCATCTCTGTGTCCACAAGTGGCTGATCAAGAAAGTATAGCTTCAGCTTAACAGTGGACTTGATAACTCCTAGGGCCCCTCCATGGCCCAGAGGCTCCCAAACAAAAGAAGTCCAAAACTTATATTCTGAAAACTATAAAATGTTGTAAGAAATTAAAGTAGATCTAAATGAATGGGAAAACATCCCATGTTCATGGGTGAAAGGACTTAATGTTATTAAGATGGTACTGCTCCTCAAATTGATCTATAGATTCAATGCTATCCATTCCTACAAAAATCTCAGCTGACTTCTTGGTAGAAATTGACAAGTGGATTCTAAAATTCATATGAAATTGGAAGGGATAGCCTAAACACAATCTTGAACAAGAATAAAGTAGGAGGGGGCTGGCCGAGTGGCGCATTGGTTAAGAGCTGGCTGGGGACGCCAGAGGGCCCAGGTTCGGATCCCACATATGAGGGCCAGTGACACTGGCCTCTACAGCTAAGATGCTGAACAACAGCTCAACTTGGAAGCTGGGCGGCCTTGAGTCACTGGTGGCATAGGCTGCAACCCCTGCTGCAGTGGGTTGCCATGGGCTATCGTGTGTAGCCAGCAGCCAGCGTGATCAGCCAGCAGCCAGCAGCCGCAGTGAGCGACCATCCAGAAACCGGCGACTGATCTGCCTCGCCCGGTAAGAGCACAATGATGGTGCCAACTTGGGCCAATGAAGCAACGTCCTCCACAACTAGACTGAGGAACAAAAGGACTTGTCTGTTCCCCTTCCCCCAATTCCCCAGTGCTGTTCCCATCCCCCAATTCCCCAATAAAAATCTTTAAATAAAAGAATAAAGTAGGAGGACTCACAGTTCCCTATTTCAAAACTTATTACAAAGAAATGGTAATCAAGAAAGGGAAGTACTGGCATAAGACAGACATGTAGATCAACAGAATAGAATTGAGAGTCCATAAATAATCCCATGTGTCTATGATCAACTGATTTTAGACAAGGGTGACAAAACCATTCAATGGGGGAAAGAATGATGGTCTTTTCCACAAATGGTGTTGGGACAACTGGATAGCCACATGCAAAAGAGTGAAGAAAGTGAAGACAGCCCACAGAATAGGAGAAAATATTTGCAAATCATATAGTTGTTAAGAGACTTACATCCCTTAAAAGATATATAAAGAACAGAATATATGAAGAACTCTTACAACTCAACAACAAAAAAGGCAAACAACCCAATTTGAAAATGAGCAAAAGATTTGAGTAGATATTTCTCCAAGGAATATATTAAAAAGACCAATAAACACA